CCCCCCCCCCCCCCCCCCCCCCGTACCGCACAGCTTTTCCAGTTTCCAGTCAATCCCGGTCTAAAAGCAACCTGTGTGCCGTCCCCCAACTCGCGATGCCAATTTCCGCCGCGTGCTTAAGCCATCACGGTGGAGCTGTCGGAGGTGCTGGCGCCTAGCGCCATCACCGTGGACGCAGAGTGGCAGGGCAGTAGCAGCTTCAGTGGCACCGATCCCATCAGCCATGACTGCCCGTTGTCGGGAAGGTGCATCGGAGAATTGACGCGGGTGGGTGCGGGACAACACATATTGTGCTTGACTTCGTCAAAGTTATGCAGCGATCCAGTCGTTCTCACATTCCTTCCTGGGTTTTCCGTCATGTGTGTAGACTGCGGGAAACATCTCGGCAGATGTTGCGGTCGGCGGGCAGAATGGACAACGAAAAAGGCACGCTTCAGGATGACCCACCCTGTCTCTATCATCGTTCATATTTTCGACCACTTGTTTCGTCGATATTGTTGTAGTAGTCGCTGGTGTCCGACGCTGACCGTGCCGTGATGGTGCGCCAGGCGCATTCACGACACTCGGAGCAGGTGGAGGTGGCCCGCTCTCGGGTACTGTTCACACGAACGCGATGTCCACGGTTTCGGATTCTCCGCCGCCTTACGTCCACTTCCTATATTGTTCATCCATCCATCCATCCATTCCATCCGTCCGTCCGTCACTAGTGGAAGCCGAGCGGGATGTGCCATGGACGGCTCTTCTCAATCTGATAAATGACAAACTCCGGTCGGAGTGCATTTGGTTCTTACCGATGATGCACTTCTGCAAGAGCCCGTTTTTATCGTTATGTATTCTGTCCTGTCCTGTCCTCATCAACCTCGACGGGGACGAGCGAAACATGACTCAATCTCCCCCTGGCGCTGCCACGTGTAGTTGTCGCAGCGACAAAAAAAGTCGGCTTCGAGATCTCGCTACCAAACCTGTTGGGTGGGCGTGCACCGTTCACCCGTCGACCCTTCTGTTGTCCCGACCGCCACAACCGCCGACATTTTTAGGACGGGTCCCTCGAGCTGGACTCTAGGTACGACTGCACGAGGCTCCTCGAATCAGCCTCCTGCGGGGTACGGTACGGGCTCATCGACAGCGCTCAGTGGGACGACAGGACAACCATCTCTAGCGTGAAAATTGGTGAGTCTCGGGCCATCGACAAAGTTGTTATGATTTTCTTCTCTTGGGGTCAGAAAAGAGAAAAATGTCATGCCGGCGCTACCCGCGAAATATGTACCCCGTGTTTCTTGGTGACCGTTGTGCGTTCTTATACTCTTTACGCCACACCTTCTACGAAAATGAGGTCATTGCTCAGATCGTGGTTATCTTTTTGTGTGGCATGCCGAGGCGAGGATGCCTTTCGCTTTTCTCAACCCCTTCTTCAATGCCTCGCGGGTACAAGAACGAGCATATTATTCTGTCCTTTGTTTCACTTTCCGCCCCCATCAATGTTCGTGTGCGCTTCCGGACAACGAACAAACGCAACCCATAATGCCTCGGGACTCACGTCCAAAAACGCACACGTCTACCGAAAACGTGCGGGGGACGCTTGCGTGAATATCTTTGACGATTGCGAAACGGAAATATGGTGGCGTCGACCCATCACAAGTAAACAGCGGTATTGTTGACCGAGATTGTCCGGAGGTCGTGGAACTGCTGAAGGATCGACATGGGTGCATCAATCCGCGAACCTCATCCCGAGGGTAGTGTGTTCTGTACGCTATATGGGCTATCATACAACGGGTAGACTAAACGCCAGACGTTCAAAGGCCAAAATAATATCCGGGGAGTACATACGTGCACCTCTATAGCAGTCATCTTGATCGCCGTAACTGTAATCTACCTCCTGCTAGAGGCGAGGAAGTTATACAAAGAGAGCACCCGATGCTTAGCTCTCGCCTGCGGAAGGGGCTCGCGAAAACAGTTCAGAAAGTCTTGAAAACTGAATTTTGTTGCGTAGAGCGACCTTTCTTCCTTCTTCATGTCAGGATTAAGGCTCAAGTCGACGAGTAGGGCTACAATACAGGTCTGAGCCCTTGGTCTTGTTCGTTGTGTGTATTGTATGGATAGGGTAGGGACATTTCACGATTCGTTTTTTGTTTCCACTCTCCTGGTCGCCTTCTGCTGCGGAACCTGGCGTGGCGTGTGTAGCGTGCGTTATCTTCGATGTCGTTCCAGACTTGGTGCCAACCGGACGGGGACGGAAAAAGGACAAAAGAGAGAATTGTCTGTACCGGGTGGCAGAGGCTGTAGAACGGACACCAAAATACAACGACGACGAAGACATCACCGCCGAACACGTGACTCTTCCTCCTCGGTTCGTTTTTGCACTCAACAGCCCTTCACCCCGACAGCGTGCAGAGCTTCCAAGTGGGGATCGGTCAGGACGAATTGGAGGCATGGGAAGCCGACCCCGACTTGACAGCGGCAGGCGAGATGCAAGAAATCCCCGGCGTGGAAGGCTTGACGGGGTCAGACCTTTATATCTACGGAGACATGGAGATCGGGGAGTCCCTCCGTATACTGGAGGTACAATCAGTGGTACCATACTTGAGAGCTGAACCTCGGGTTGGGTGTCACATGGTGCATTTCTTGAAGTGAATAAGAAAAAAAAATGTAGCGGTTGCTTGAGTACCAAGCACTTACCGACGGCTGCACCGCGTCCAACAAGATTGATGACATGGCCGTGCAACTTGGAGTATGTCGAATCGGAGTGGACGCACAAATCAGCGGTTGGTTCGTGTCCTGCGGGGGGCGCAAAATTGTGTCGGAGATGCAAGCAACGGAGCGAACACGATCTACGGTATGAGTTGGCACCGGTTGTGCGTCACACAGCCAAAAATCACGCAAGTGTAATTCCCGCTTGCGCTCTTGTCATATCGTGCGGGTGACGGGAGGGGACGTTTACACATACGATAAAGTTTCGCCTTGATCATCGTTCATCAAAAGCGCAAGTTGTGGTCGCTGTGGTGGATCCGTCGAAACAACCAAATACCCTCTGCACGTGGGTTGTGGGTTTGCACCCCAGTCGTGCACTCACCACGCCCATTGCTTGTATTGTTCTCAATGTGTTATCGAACGGCTGCCTTGCTTGAAATCAAAATCGACACAACCGAACAGTCGACCACGAACCCGGTCATGTGTTAGCCTAACAACGCCGCGCACTTGCGTCGCACTTCTGCCGCAAAAAAACACCTTCGGCCCTTCTCCGCTACATATGTAGTCACAATTTTTTGCTTGCAACAGACAAATCTGTTTCTTTCCCGCAATGGAATACCACATCCCGTGGACTTTCGATGGCTACAACACGGCCAAGTTTTGTTTTATAGAAATTCCTTTTCCACCGAGTCGCAACGATGACTACACGAGTGTTCGGCCCCTAGCCTCTCCAACCATCCATCGCTTCCTACCTTCCAAGGGAGTCTCGACGCCACGCTGGGCTTTCGCTTCTTGCCGCTCTGTGCATGCTGTCGTGCGTTGTATGCATAGGTGGAGATCTACATTACCGTGGACGAGGTCGAGGCAACCGGGGTCTCCGCTAGCACCCGGGCATCCGTGACCGCCACAGCATCCGCCGATAGCGTCTCGGCCATGAACACCTTGGTGGGAAGGAAGTGTAATTTTTGACGCGTTTCCCGCGAAATTGCCATATTTCGCAGGACTCTCCGAGTTGTTGCAGCCGCGGGACGGTGTTTGTTTTGGATAAGGTCGTGTGCGGTCAACGAAAACGTCCGGTGCAATTTGACACCCCCCCTTTTTGAGACATAATGTTGTATTCGGTTTGCCGCGTAAGTTCCGAAGACGTGATGAATGGGACTTTCCATTTCTCCGGAGAAACTGCTGTCCGACAACTATTGCCCGTTCCAGCGAAAGGTCGACACAACCAACTCCGCCAGAATGGTCGTGCATTCCTCAAGGCCTGTGTTTGGAACTAATGGACGAGACAAGTTCGACAAGCAACATAGTCCCAGGTTCAGTGTCCTCATCCGCCGTCGGATCTACCATGTAACTATTTCTCTTTTCAATCCCTGACGTATAGGTCGCACTGACATGTACTCAGCAAGAACGAGTGTCCCTGATAGGTTGCGCTCTTGGCATCCCACCCCTTGCCAGGACGGCGACGCGTCTGCCGCTTCGTCGTGGACTTGTTCCTCCGGGGACGAGGTGTGCGAGATCACCTTCGACCTCCAGGCGGTGGAATCCCTCGAACAGCTCCGCATAGGTGGGATGGGTGGGGCAGATGAATGGAGATGCAACTGTTGCTACGTGGACACGACCTTGCCTGTTCTTCGAACGTCAGACAGGGTCTTACCATGTTCATAATCTACGCACAGGGTCGAGATAGCCTTGAAGGGTGTCCCGGCAGACGGATCCTTCGCAAGCGGGGAAACATGGTGTCCAGTTTTTTGTGTTAGGGGCCAACCACAACACCGCGTCAACACGTATCCTCTCCAAATTTCGATTTGAAATGCCACCGCTTCTTCTGCCACGGCCGCTTTTCTTCGTTCCTTTTTCGCCGGCGGCGGCGCGTGCTTCTGATCTGCTTAATCACCGCCGTCGTCAGCGTTCTCCGAAGAGACTGATGCCGTCGGGGGCGAGTTCAGCGTCATGGTCGCCGGCGAGTCCGGCGTCTTCTCCGCCGTGCGCACGGGCCTCGAGGCCGATCCGGCCGGCCGGCCGGTCGGCACCGACGGGCTGCAAACCTTCGGGGGCGTTCGCGCCATGGCCCGGTACGTGAAGCTCGGGGTGACGGTGCCCACGAGCGGGGGAACAATCGCCATCAGTGAGGTGCGTACGGGGGTCATGCATACTGGTAGGTTTGCGCCTACTGATGCAGCTCCAAAGGGACCTAATTAATAGTGATAATGATCGTTTTTTCGGGGTCTCACCTCAGATTAGCGTGAAAGACGCGTCCGTATCCGCCACAACAAGCATGTTCCTTGTTGCGTCGTTGTCTGTCTACAGACGTGCCACTGATGTTTCGCCGTCCCCGAGCAGCTAGCCCCGTGCCCTCGCGCCGCTAGTGGTGGTGGTTCGTGCAGAGGGCGTGCGCAAGGGCACTGCTATTACGTGCGAAGGCGGTCCGTTCCGTTCCGTTGAGCACGTTTGTTTCCAGTTCATAACCTACGACGATCGCAATGATGTTTTGCCGCTCGCACAACGCCGATGCCTTTCGGTTTTTCTTCGAAAGGTGCTTGCTTGTCTTCCTCGAAGTGCTTGCTTGTCCACACGCTATTTAGTCGTGCGTCGTATCCCCCAACAACGCAGAGAAGGGACGACAAGCATTTGAGATCGATCGATGACGTGCCAGCATGTAAACTGTCGCTTTGTGACACGCCCCTTGTCGCGCTGAATACACGCCATCATCAATCAATCGATCAAACCGGTTACAATCTGATTGAAGGTGGAACTCAGGGTCGGCGAGGACGTCCCCGCTCGCCCGGTGGCCGAAAAGGCGTGGCTCAAGACCACCGGTCCACTCCCGCGCGCCGTTAGTTCTGGCGGTTCCCTTGACCCCAGCTACGACATCAGGCTGCCTGAGGACGGCGGGTGCGACCCTCCGATCCACTTCGAGGGGTGTCATGTGTTTTATATCAAGGTCCGGTATTTTTGGTGCTGCCGCCGGATCGTTTCTTTTTGGTGTGGAGATGGAATTTGGACTATTATGTGGTGGTGGTGGTGGTGGTGGTGTTGTTGGTACTTGAGTGTCATCTAAAGGGTGCTTTCCATCTATTGCTTTTGCTTTTGCTTCTAATTTATGGTTGCACCGCCGCGTCCTAAGGCTGCTTTTCTATGATTGGTTTTTCGCCGTGGTTCCCGCTACCCGTTCTCCGGCGGCCGCCCATGCTACCGAAGGACTTAACCGTTTTTCCCACCGACGTTGTCGTTACCTCGCCTTCGATGGAATTGTATCTACCGCAGGACGAGAACATGGACTCTCGTTGGACCTGTGGCCCGCTCGTAGCCGGGTCAGACAGAAGTAGCTGGGACTGCGAGCTCGACTTCAGCCTCAACTACTTCCGATACATCCGTCAGATCCAAATCGGTAAGCATCATTGTTTCTGCCCGGCCGGCCGACGCGCCAAGCGACGAGGCGGCGACATCGTCTGCCGTCAGGATTCTCCAAAAACGTGTGTTGCTGTTGCCCTCGTTGTTGATATTTGGACTATTATAGCTAAATAGTTGTCGAAAGTCTTCTTGTGGTGTCGTGTCGAGTGATGAGTTCGTCGTCCTTCGGCAAAAACTCTTGCTCCTCTTGGATCGGAGTACATGGTTCTTTTGACTCCGTTGTCCCTCCTGCGTGCGGATGATGGGTCGCGAGACTGAGATGTATAACTGGGTGTCCCTCTGTCTGCCGTTAGGATGTCCCTCTGCCTGCCGTAAGGTGGTTGGGGGACGACGGTGGCCAAGCGGGTGTGTGCCAACAGCCCACAATCGCAACCCTTGGGTCTTGTCTCCTTGATCTGTTTTTGTTTCCGTTCGGCGTGTCGTCAATGGCGAAACGGTCGACGCAAAACAAAGTGGACAGGCCGAGCCCGACCTCCTTCATGCATCTTAAGCCAATCGTCGTGTGACCAAGGAAAAACACATGAATATTGTCCCCCGCCCCCCCGTCCCCCTTATGTCTCTAGGGAAGTTGTGCGTTGGTTTTTCCAAAACATGAATCTTGGAGGCTTGAGCAGATGGCGGTCGTTGCTATCGTCGTCGTTGTCCAGTGGATGATCGATACGATCTATGCCCAGGGCCTCGTCTGCCGCATTGATTTCAAGCTTCCGTAGTAGTCAACGGAAAGGAACGAGCATCCAAGGAACAAAGAGCAAGGCGCACCGGACACAAACATAAAGAAGAGAAAACGTGGCCGCACTCGTGTTAGAATAAGTTGTCAAGCCCCCACGTCTAGACAGACGCGCTTCAGGGTCCGACGAAACAGCCCTTCAGGAACACCGTTCGTTGTAACAATCGATTCACATGGGGGGGTCTACTTTGGGTCGACTGCTGTGAGCAGCCCCGACGTGATGGCCATTCTGGGAGAAGGCAAGACGACGACGACGACGACGCTGGGCCCAGATTGCTGTAGTAGCGTTGTGCAGCGAAAAAGTTTACAACATCGGGCTCCAATCGCTGGGTGACAACAACCGTAGTGGGCAGACGAGGAAGGGAGGTTAGTTAGTTATTTTTTCGGGATCGAGGAATACACAAACGTTTTGGCCCCGTCAATGATGCTACAGCAGTAGCATCAGGCGTTTTTTTGCTGCCCGAGCTGGGCGGTCAAGGCTCCGAGAACTAGAATACCCTAATGCTCGTTCTCCGACTCACCCCTTGCAGCCTTCTACACGGGAGATGGGGAGCACAACGAGTTTAGCATCGAGGCGTACACCGCTGCTGGCGAGTGGGTGGTGAGCTGGCTTGCTTTTTGTTGTGCCTCGAGTGCCCGCGCATGTGGGGTTGAATGCTACGTGGTAGGAGGACACTCGTTCCTGCACGTTTAAACCTTCGAAAAACGAATTTGTTGTGTCCACGGTTGTGTGAGAGGTGGTGTCCATTGGAGCCCAAGGATTTACGCGGCTTGAATATGCCTTTCACATAATATACATGCCCTGGCTTTAGTCGCCGTCAACGTTGCGGGTGTCCATGATAGCGGAGATGGAAGGTAGTGGCATTAATAGTAGTAGTAGTTGTTGTTGTTGTTGGGAAAAAAAAGCAACATGTGTTCCTTGAGGTTGAGTCTCGGTAACGCGTGGCGCACTTCAACGTTGTTGGGCCCGGTCGTCTCGAAACCAAGAAGGTACCCCTTCTCTTCCTCGGTTGCTGCTGCTGCCGCTGCTGCTATCATGGCCGTTGTTCTGCCATGAAAGTGTTGATGTCGTTGTTGTCGTGCGGGATGATGCTGCTATTCCTCTCTCTGAGCAGACGGTTGTGCCGTCAGCGATAAGCGCCGAGGACGGCAGCGACTACCAGACCTTCGACGTGGCAGTCCACACCAACATGATCAGGCTGCTGCCGAAGTTCGGCCAGATTACCGACTTCATCGGCATCAAGGAGGTGGGCAACCCCGAGAGGACGGACGGTGTTTTGGCTCCGCATTTTGGTCGTCAAGACCGACCGGCGATTTCCGCGGGGGGTGACCCCTTGTCATTCCTGCGATGTACGGTATGCGTTACCGTGCGGGGGTACAAGTCCATGTGCGGCAAACGCCACAGACATCCAGAGACAGGCAGGGGCAAACGAAATCAGCTGCACCGGTACGCCCTCTTCGATCATGGGTTGTCTTTTGCAATCGACGGGCTGTTGCCGATGACGAAAAACAGGATGGAAAATGTTGTTTTGGGCTGTATGTCACTCGCCGCTGCAGCCCTCGTGCTGCATATCTTTATCTTTGCCTACTACCACCGCCGTGACCCCTCGGACGAGACGCCTATTTAATCCATCCCGATGTTTCGCCGACGGCGGCGTGTTTGCTTGTTCGCCCCCGGTGTATGTGCGGCCCGCGCCTCGTGTCTTTTGTGCTGCGGCCGCGGGCGCGAAGCTGGTCTTCCTGGAGAAGAGGAAGAACGATTTCATCGAAGGAACCATCCCAGTCTTTTCAGCCAGATTAAGGGTGAGTGGATCAAGGCGTTGGTTGTCGTGTTTCGAGAGCTGTATATTGTACTCTGCTCCGCTGTTGGTGATGTCGTGAGTATAAGCCGTTGCCGTTGTTGTCGTTCCTGTAGTCGTCGTTGGCGAGGTGTCTCCTGTGTCTCCGCCGTCATTTTCGCCCTTTTGTGTATTAGTGTTGGTTGTCTTGGCTTCTTGGGAGCTGGTATTCTGGCCGCTCGTAACTGCTGTCGATCACGCAGCGCAGTTCGAATGGGTTCCGGAAGGAAAACGATAGTCAAAATCGGTGTTTCTCCGCTCTCAATTTAGCCCAAGCGACGCAGAGAGGAGAGTCGCTTTCGCCGTCACACAGAAGAATGAGCACGCCGACTCGCAGCAAGTAGTTATCGTCGTTAGCGTTACGTCCCATCCGATGTCCTTCGCGGCACCGCCCCCCACCCCCCACCCCCCTCCCCGTGGTCCATCGTAAAGATGAGTATGCCTCTACCACCCTCCATTCCATCAATTTTTGCCCACTACCGCTTTCCTCCGTGGCGTGTCAATTTGTTTCTGTGGCAGTCAAACAGTGACGATGACGAAGAAGAGGGCGCCGACGTGGACATACCCACCAGATTCGAGTTCGACCTTCCGATCGTGAGTGTCTGCTTTCTGTGCCGTGGTTGGTTGTTGTGTTGGATTTTTTGTGGTCCGCGCGTTGTCTTCCGCGTTGCTTCATTCGTGAATATGCCCACTTGCACCGCGTTTGTTTCCGCGAGAAAAACTTTTTAGATGGGTATCGATTGCCAGGAATGTCGTAGTTTCGATTTTTTTTTTTTACAGCAGTCGACGCCATCGACGCCATCGAACAGTACCCGAGCTATGAAAAGTGTTGAGATTTTGTCAGCATAATGCTGCGATCTGGCTTACCGGTGCTACACCGCCCTCTTGAGGAAAGGAAGTCAATCGTTCAGGCCCGAAGTACAGAACGGGCCCGGAGATAAGGAACGTCAGAATCGGGCCGAGGCTCAGTTTCTCATTTCATCGCGACTGTGAAGCACAGGTTGTTGTGTAGAGTTTAGTGCAGGATCCACCGCTAAGCTGTTTCTCGGGTCTTTTTTTTCTCATTTTTCGTGAGAATTTAAGTTGAGTCTCTGTTTCGTAACGGAATGTTTCTTTACTGCCAGCCCGTTCTGCATCACCGACGTTTGCTTTTCGAAACCGTCAGCCGATGAATCAGTCATCCCACACACATACATACCAGTTTAGTACGCAAGCTGGTGTCGACCAGCTTGGCTCTCGTGGTCGCGGCGTGGAGGGATCGTTAACAGCATCACGACCAATTTCTGACTTCTTCTTGAAGCGATCTCATGCCGTTGTGCGTTCATTCCACGGCCGGAACAAACATCTTCCCGCTGTGTACGAGCCTCACATGGAAAAATCCGGATTTATTTGTTTTCAGTTGTATCAATCGCGCCGCCGTCTTTTCCGGCGGGGGGTGCAGTTGGGTGTTGGAGCTGTGACGTTTTTCAAAAAGATAGAGAGGTGATATACCTGAAGAAACAGAGGGAGCTCAATCTCGATTCACGGACGGAACGACTGCTGTTTGTCGCTTACAATCTAAAGGAGACTGGGTATGAAACAACGTAAACCCCAGAAGTTTCAATCGGGGACTTTAAGTCCCGTCTGTTGTATGTGTCGGGATCCTCGACCAACACCACTGCACCTACGTTCGACCTGTGCGATGATCCTACCCCTCGAAAACCATTGAACAAGTTCCACATCTTCTTCCTCGTTCTCGTAATTCTCTGCAGGAGGGAGATTACATCGACATGGACGTGCCACCTTCGACGGTTACAGCCTTGAGGATGCGCTTTCCCGCCGACAGGAGCTTCGTGTTTATGGTCGAGTACGGCGACGTCGTAGAGGTGGGTTCGGGTTACGGGAGGTGGCATCCCATCCCTAAGCCTAACTTGTAGCGACGTGTGCTGGTAGTGTTGTGGATAGCGTGTGGTGCCTGCCGCTGTTGCATGCAGCTGCCCAACTGCTGTGTCGTGTGTTGTGTAACCACCTTGTCTGATTCCTCGCTTATTCGGTACCCAGCTTTCGTGTCCAGGCGATAGATGTACGAAAATATTCAGCTGAAGTCCTCCACTCGTTCGTGACGCCTGATTCAGGCTGCTTGTGTTTGGTGCCCTTGCTCTCGCTAGTAGCGTTTTGGTGCCAGCTCTTCGCAGCCCACGTGGCCTTCCGCCGGCGATACCCGAATGTTGGTCGCGTTCTATGTTTTTGCCGCCAGCCAATGCACCCGCGCCAGTCCTATTCTCGCTGTGTGAGATTTACGATGCGCGGACAAACCCCGAAACAGCCACTGCTGTCACGGCACTTCACAACAATGCTTTGGCGCGTGCCCCAACTGAACGATAACCGACGGGGTGCCGGTAGGAGTTCACCAGCGCCGGGGGTCCGAAGACGTGGGAGACGTTCACTCTGGCGACCCCCGCCGAGGTGGATTACGGCCTTGACATCGTCGCGGTGACCGGGCCGACGTTCGACCACATTCCGGACTACCCGGCTCTGAGGGTTGTTGACTTCCAGGTCGTCGGGGAGCTAAGGAAAGAGCCGGGCTACATTGATGTGAGATGATGATAACGATGCTGAAGGGGGAGGGGTGGCAATGGCCTCGTTGACAGGATGGTCAAAGGTGATGGCGAGAGAAAATGATCCGGGGGCAACCGAGGCGATTTAGGCGAGACTACGCAAATCCACATTTTCCTAGCTTTTTGTTTGAGAAAGAAGGACGAAGAACAGGGTGAAGCTCTTGTCTTCTCTTTTTTCGTTTTTGGAACCCTTCTCTTTTTTGGAACCCGTAATGGAATCGCTTACAGAAGTTTTAAGTTTCTTGTGTTGCTGGTGGGCGCGAGGAACCGTTCCAATGTTGGGCGCTTGGGTACAGGGTAGATGACTCGCACCAGCTAGCCAACGGTTTGGACAACGAAACGATTTAGCTCTTAGTTTTTCCCCACGAGCACGCATAAACCGTGGTGGTAGGGACTACCTGTGCGCAGTGACTATGTGTAGGGTAACGGCAGCATTATCTGTGTCAGCTCCTACAAAACGCGAGAGAAGTCGGTCGATTTCACCCTTCGTTTGTCGGTGGTGAAACACTTGTATCAGGATGTGGGTTGGTCCCAGTACCTACCCGGGGATGAGAGGGCGGCTGTGCGGCGTGCCTAAAATGGTTAGCTACTCAAAGACTCGGGCCTGGAGCCCATCGCTGACCCTTCCAAAGCTTGTCGTGGAAAAGCAAAACGATGTAAACCCTGTGTTTGGCGTTCATGAGTTGCTCGCTCTTAGTAACCAGAGTATCACCACCACCGACAACAACAACAACAACAACAACAACAACAACCCCGCCCTCGTTCCAACACATGCGCGCAGGTGGTGACGACGACGATCGAGACGTGGGGGGTGGTGCCCGACGTCATCGGCGAGGGAGTTTCGGAGCAGAAGAACGTGATGAAGGCGATTTGCGAAGCCAAGGGAAGCACCTTCGACGGCGTCGACTGCGTCGGCGAGCTGAACGACTCCGAGGTTACGGTGAGAGAGGCCATCGCAATGATGTTTTTTCTTCTGCACTGCAGTCTTTGCGTTGTTTCTGTTGCTGTGGTGTGGCAAACGGCGTCCAAGATTTTTCCGTTTAGAAGCCGGAATCAACCCATTAGACTAAATAGTCAGCGCTGACTGTAGTCAATGTGCTGACTATTAGTCTAATGGTTTGATTTCGGCTTCTAAGGCCGGCACCGCCGTTGCGTCTTAAAGTTTCCACGCTACGAGCGTCATGGCGATCACCCAAACTACGCGGGGAGGAGCACGGGCAGTACTCCCAAAGTGTACCTACTTCATGCTAGATGATTGGTGTGTGCCTTTTGCACAAAATGCCCGTGGGACCCGATCCGTTATGGGGCGGAGGGGGGAGACGGTGGTCTCACGTAAGCGGATGCCGTAGTCGGTAGACCGTTGACCTCGCATCTCTACGACGGGGTGAGGGGGGATTTTCACAGCCCGGACATCTCCACGACGGGAAGTTTATCGGGACAAGCTAAGGTTTTGTCGAAACCGTCTCGTCGAGAGCTTGCCAAAGACGCACTCGCGTTGCGTCTCGGTACGCATGATCTCCCCTCGCAATATGTAGTGGGGATGTCTGGTTGTGAACATAGACCCCTCCCCTATCTCCCTGTCAGGGGAGAATTCCGACAACAGTACAAGTTGAAACCAGACCACGCAGCTCTCAGGGAGCTACGAAAAAGAGTTTTCAGAAGCCGACAGCAAAGAAAAGGGTCGTTGCAATCACGACCAAAGCGTCGAAATTTCGAAATTCGGGTGGACTAGGAGTAATGAAAACGAGCATGATTTCGAGCTGGGGAAACTATATTTCTCCTATATTCGAAACCAAGGTCGAAGCGTTTCCGCTACAGGCAAGATTGGGAACCATTTTCCGACATGTTGTTCTCGAAGACTCGACGACTCGAAACTTGGACACTGCTGTTGTTCGGCGTAAAGCTCCGAAGGTGTTCGGAGACATTCGTTTTTAGTACTTGAACGATCTCATGCGTATAGGAACACCGCAGCCCCCCCCTCTCTCCGATATTATCTCCCCCCGACCCTCTTGCTGATCTCTCTCGCCCCCCACCTCTCGACAACGAACCGCTGAAGTTTTGCATATATGTAGGAACACCGCAGCCCCCCCTCTCTCTGACGTTATCTACCCCGAACCTCTCGCTGGATCTCTCTGTCGCCCCCCACCTTTCGACACGAAACGCCGTAGATTAAGCTACACTTCGGCGACTACTACATAGACGGGCCGATATTCTTGAAGAGCGGGGTGTTCATCGACGGCGAGTGGCAGGACGAGTACCCCACGTTTTGCTGGCTGGTGCTCTACGAGGGGGACAGCAACACCGTTACCGGCGAGGACGCCATGGTTGTTGTGGATGGCGCCACAGGCGCGGAGGTACGTTGGCGTTGCGGGGGTGCCGTATGCTTACAAGTACAGCAGTGGTGGTCCGGATATACCGTACCGCGGTCCCGAGTAGTGCGGGTCCCGGTACACCGCGGTAAAAATCGCTCGATTGTCACGGGATTTGGCTTAACAATACTAAAAATCTATATATTCCCCAACACTCAATGGTGCGGTGTCCCGATATACCGCGGTTGCTTTTGCTTGTCGCTACACCGCGGCACGGTATATCGGAACCACCGGTGTACATTCAAGTATAGAGGTTCTTCGTGTTGAAAATCTTCATTTCGCTGTTGGAAGGAAGCTTTGTGCCGATGGCCTGTGCACCTGAGCCCATGGAACGAAATCGCGTGTCTCTGACCTTACGAATCGACTACATACCCCTCTCCAGCGGAAACTGTCCCCGCTCGATCCACGAAGCCCCTCCTGTCAAGCTAATAGCAGCCGGAGTCCGCCACGAAAGCTAGTAGGACAAATACAATGTGCCTGTTTGGGGCGTCTTTGCGAGCCGCCCCTTGCTACGCGCTGGCGTGTGCCACCGGCGGCGACAGGGGCGGCGTCATCGTGCAGTGATGGAGCCGCGAATGATGAACGATTCGCTGCTGTTTTCGGTGCTAAACACGCAGCAACAACCATACAGTATGTGAACGATTCGAGGCGAACAAGAAGGGCTTTCCGTTTACTGCTGCTGCGGCTTTGCTATATGGGGTCGCGCCCTGTCCTTTAAGACTGATTGGTTGATTGGTGTGTTTCCCTCCTCGGCACGGATCAAGTTTGCTCTTCAGCGTTAGACTTGGTGGCGAGGCCTCATGCGCCGGCAAGAGGACCTTGCATGCAAGCACGCCCTATCCCGCCATCGCTGAGAGCTGCTGAGAGCTCTCTCTGCGCATGGGTTGTGTGCGTGTACTCATAGTCGTGCATGCCGTAGTCGTTAGACCAGTGACCTCGCCTCCCTACAAAGCCGGGACGGAGCACGCCGGGTTTTCACCGGACCAGGCTCTCACATCACCAAGCGAGAAGCGCCGTGAGGTATTCGGCGAGGCTTTTCCGACAGTACATGCAAAGTCCCGGATTTTGATTGCCTCCTGGGTCGACAGCAGGGTCCCGAATACCTCCGACCAACCATCGGCCTGACGCCGAGCGGGTCGAGAGTCACCCAAACCTGATTGATGCCACCTTGTCCCCCTTTCGGAATTTCTTCCGAGCACGCACGCGGAACGAAAGAAAGATCAACCCGCGAAGCGAAGAAATTCGGTGATATTCACCGGTCTCCTTGCGAAACAACGCGCAACGACTTTTTTTTTTTCCTCTCGGGTGATCGGGTGAAGGCATTCGTTCTTGGAGGACAAAAGAAGGCGAAATAATGCCTTCGTTCGCCTTGTGCGTGTAGCTCGCCCCGCCCGCTGCAGCTTCTCTGTGCAGAAGACGGATGGTTCCGAAGCATGTTCGTTGGAAAAAAACAGTCAGTCGGCCGGGTAAATCTTGGGTCGAAAAGGACCCCGTCCTCCTTTCTCGTTTTCGGACCCGCCCTCCCTAAGCTTGGGCCGCCCCCCCGCCCCCCCCCCCCTCCTTCCCACCGGCGCGTTAGTCTTGTAGCCAAAATTACCTCCCGCGTCTGGGCAGCCGCGCAGATCGTACTTTCCCCTCGTTTTGGAGAAGAAACAAACCGACTGCCGCTCCTTTCGCATTCCGTCTGTGTTGGCAACGTAATTTCGAGACCGACCCACCCTTGGCCAAGGACTTTTTCCGCTTGTCGTTGTTGTCTTCCCTCCGTGTTGTTGCTGTTACCCATGCGTCAGCTTTACGGTTTGGCGTTCGTCCGCAAGGAGGAACCTACGGGAGACATCGTGCCCGGAACGGTCGGAAACACCAACTTGGCTGTCAGGAACTCGCAGGTGATCGATTGATCCGTCGAAAATGGCGATACAGTAGGTCAAGCAGGCATTGCTGGCTTCGTCCGGAAAAACAGGTAATGTATTTCTTAACAAATGGTACATATTTCTCGTGCCTACGGGACGGGATCGGGCCTGTGTTAAAACCCCGGCGCAATCGAAACCGACTGGGGTCAGCAAGAAAACGGAGTCCAGGAATGTCTCGAATGCGTCCACAGCAGGAGCAAGTAGACTACCGGATGCGAGCGGCGCTGCTCAACCCAGTAGCATCATGCTTGGTACCGTAGCAGATATGTAGGGAAGTCCCGGTGGTTTTTTCGCCACTTTGTGCTCCATACGGGGATCAAGGTAGCAGCTAAACGGGAAGCCCGGGGTCGAGTACGAATGGAGCACTTGTGCAAACTCTTTCAAATTCATAGCAGATAACTGAAAGATTGTTTATACGAAGGGAAGCAAACTCTTTCAAATCCGTGGGAGACAACAGAAGATTTTTGTGTTTTTCTTCATTCTTCGTTGAACGCTGTTAACCTGCTTTGTTTCTTCCTACCATGCCTTGGTTTCTGCCTCATGTAGGACATCCAATTCTCAGAAATGGGGCTCTTCAGTGGCCGAAACGGCGGCGCCACTTTCACGGATTCCAGGAACATGAGGTAGGAAGTTTTTCACCGTTGGGCGAGCCCAAAGTCTATCTCATGAGTTTTTGACCTGTGCGCTTTGTGTTGAGGTGTCTAGCTTGTCCGATGACGTTGCTGGTGCTGTTGTGTATTGTGGTTGCTGTTCATTGTTGTTTTCCTTGTTGTTGTTGGTGGATGTGGCGTTGCCATTGCTGTTGTCGTCTCCAAGTAGCTTGCCATTCGACACCAAGTCGCAGCGACGCGCAATCGATCCGCACGAGGGGGGGAAATCCCACACCAAAACGAAAACTCCCGTCGTCGTGCTTGGCGTACACTGCTTGCTACCTTCTTTCACGGACGGCACAGTAGTACAAGTAGATGTATTGTCGTAGCAACCGTTCCGATGTGCCGTGATTTCGCCCTTCCACCTAGTTTTTCCTCTCGCCGAAACGCCTCACGCAGCGCTCGCGATTAAGGAAAAAGGAAGAAAGACTCAGATTTCGGCGATAGATTGGAAAAATGTCTAAGAAACACACCTCAGCAGTGGATCCAACATTAACCTCTCACCCATACTCGACGGAGACGACGCAATAATAAGTTGAGCCTCGACTCCAAATTGACGTCTCTTAAACGCGTCGGGGCTTGCTGTACGTGTGTTAAAAGCGAAAAGGCTGACACCATAGACTATGGCAACGGCCTTATGCTACCCGTGTGATCGCATCTCTTTCCTTTCCCACAGCGCTTTCATTTTCTACAATGGCGATGAACTCGAGACCGGCAACTACATGGAGCTCACCCGTGTGGACGATGTCCATTTCAGGGCCTTGCCGGTATATATCTGTTTGCTGTTTACTCTGCACGTATTCTGGTTTGCGTGTATGCTGCAATGAACTATGTTATGTGTAACTCTGCAATATTTATACATATTTTTGTATATAACCTCTGCGATGCATTCTGCTTTGTATATTCTGTGCGATGCATCCCGTGTTGTATGCAATGTTTTGTACATTTTTCGAAGCCAAAAATTTGAACATTGAATGAAGAGCGTCGTCGCGTCGGTCTTCCATTCTAGCAGGAGTTTGGTGGTGCCAGCGGTGAACTTATTCGCGGCTGTAGCGTGATCGGCGTTACGATACACAGTTTGGTACATACGCGTCATCACTTTGAGAAATTGACGGTTGAATAAGTGAGTCGCCAAGTTCTGAATGCAAGAACTTGACCATGAGAGTAGGTACTCCGTGAAGAATCCAACACAACAAACCTATACAACAGATGTTGGGCTACCCCACACGGAAAAAATGACAACTTGGGCAAACTATGTATGTAGGAGGTTCCGAAGTGCAAGCGCGTTCTGTTTGTGAGTACTCCCAATGTATACCTCGAGCTTGTGCCCCCAAACATTCACGGTTTCGTCAGCCTCCCCGACAGCCTCTCTCTTTGTGTTTTTCCATGCTTGTCTTGCATGCTCGATTTTCCCGTTGCTGTAGCCCAGGAGATAGGCGCCATCCTTCGTTAGGAAAACACAACTCTTGATTGATTCGACTCGTCTCGAGAAACGGATCTGATTCCCCCCCCCCCGTGGTTGTCAAACGGCGTACGGTATCTGCCTCGAGATCCGATCCATGAACCCATCACCAGCCCATGAGCCGAGTTATTGTGGCCATTCAAAACTACCACCAGTCGCTCGCTTCCAGAAATTCGATGTTCACCCACTTCGACAAGCGCAGGCCATGAAGTCGATGTACAGCCGACCGCACCACCAAAGCACCAATGACGACAACAACGACCTTCCACGGCCACATGTCTTATTTCCTGTTGGCTAAATTACAACCGTTGTTGCAGAACATGTCCGGAGTGCTCTTCGACACGTGCAACGACATCGTCTTCGAGGGCGTCGATGACTTTGCGATCCCCACCGCGTATTTCAGCCCCCCGGTCGCCGGGAGCGACCAGACGGCCAACGTCGTGGTCACCGGCGACTCCTCCGGCATCGTTTTCCAGAACTTCGTTGTGGCCGCCGGCGCTGGTGCGTTGCAGCTACACCTCTAGCTACACCTCGCGGCTTCCTACATACCCGCTGTCTTTTGAGTTGTAGGATGCTTCACGAACGTGTTTTGCTGATTTCGTGAGACCGCCGTTTTTGTTGTTGTGGTCTTGGTCACAAAAATTCGTGTCGGCGTCATGTCGGAGTAGTAGGTTTGGGGTGAGCGTTTGTAGCGTTTGGCGAGGTCAATACGCAGGTGTGACTGGCGGAGCGCATTCGAAACACGTTCTTGCTTGGTGGGGCGTTTGCTACGTGGACAAAGGGAACGACCGCAGAGAGGCGTAGTAGGATGGCTCGCAGGTCATCACCATCAACCGTCGTTTGTTGCCATTACTGCCGGTGCTGCTGCCAACACCGACCGCTGCGACTCGTTATTTTTCCGTTTCGTGTTTTCCACACTCAAAGAACCGCGTATCCTGGTGGAATCGACGGAGCCCCTCACCCTAGACAACGTCATCAGGTACACTGACGCCGAGATCGGAGACTGCATCGTGGAGGTCCCAGAGGTGGGTTGGTTTGCCGTCCCCAGGGCATGTTGACAACCAAGCAATTATTTTTTCTTCATCCATCGATTGGATTGTTGCTTGTTCCTTTTATAGTGCGTACGCAAAGCTTTAAAAAAGAAATGCGGTGATTCGTCCAAACAGAGTTTTGCAATCGAGTATCATGCTGGCAACGTTTTCCGTGGGAAGCTGTTGAAACGATAAAGTAGTGAATAGCGAACATCCTTGGAACTGGGTATCGGTGGATTGTTTGCAACTACTTGTAGCATATCCGAGTGTTTTAAGGACGAGTAGCTCAAACGGTCTCGATGGTTCAGAGGCGACAAGCTTCTTTGTGCTTTTTTGAGTAGTTCGTGCGCACATGAACCGTACGGATCTTCAGTATTCGGACTCAGAAGTATCCGCCACCACCCAACCAAGACCGGAAAGTGGGTGTTTGTGAGGCCGATATCGAGAGGGTTTTTCTCTTCTTTTGAATCCCACGCGTTGCCGTGCATTCTCTCCGTTGGTGAGCTGCGTTCCTCCTCTGACGAAACCTGTCGTCAGAACAGCAATAATACCCACGAACCAGCGCGTGACCAAGCGTGTGCGGTGAACTATACCCTCTACGGCTCCTCTCTTATTGTCCTGATAAGTGGTAGCCGTTCCTAGCTGCAGATGGCAGGCTGGGGGGCACGTGACTGGCGTATGTCCCTGTTCTTGGAATCTAACACTTGTGACGACACGCTGGTTCCTCCCCTTTTCTCGCGATTTCAAACCAAATCAGGGAACGGATGAGGATTTTGTCGTGCAGGTCAGGACCAACCCTTTTTCCGACACTTCCAGTATCGACACCATCAATCAGCTCTTGGCGAAGTCGGGCACCTGCTGGGTGCTTGAATAGGTCTCATTTATTATACATGTAGGTTATTCGTGTAAATGCCAAATTGTGTTTTCTGGATGACTGATTGTGTGTGTAGTTTGAACATGCCCCCAGGCTTGTTGTCAGGCTGCTGCGTGCTTCGTTTAGCTGCTGCCCGCAGGTCCAAGCCCTAGCAACTGCTGTGTGTGGCGTTTTATCCTGTCCCTTCCGGTCGTCATGTGTTGCATCAACGTACGCATGATGCACAGCAGTAGATAGTTTTCCCACTTGCGTGCGTTGGTGCATACGCATGTACGCTTCACGTGTTTTCCGCTTGCAGCTCAGATGCTCAGAAAACGACTGAAAAACGCGAAGTAAACAGTGTCCAGACAGGAAGAAGAGCATCCGCTACCCGCGGCATCATTCGTGACCAATTGTAGTACAATTGAACGTGTCGGTCTAGCCGTAAGATGAGGTGAAGGGTATTTAACAGGGTCAGCCCGGATTTCCATATCTGCCGACATCGAAAGACACGGGTGGTCAGAGGTGCAGGTTGTGGCAAGTGGAATACCATGTAAAACCTAAAGAGGTTAGGTCGGGAAGACGAGGTTTGTGCTAAACACGTTTAATTTGTCGTTGCTACAAGCCCGCCCAGTTGGTTTTATCAGTTCCACTTTCGGCGATGGTGGTGTTAGCTGCGCACACACGATGACCTGCCGCCCTTTTCGGCATGTGACGGGCTACCCGTGTAGCTACACGGAGGGGTTTGGGGGCCTGACTAGCTCAGCGAACGCCCCTCAACTGTACTTTTGGGTGTATAATCTACTCTGTAGTGCGCATGCACGAGTTTGTTGCCAGCTAGGTTGTTGCTGGGGTGGGTCCTTTGCCCAGTAAAGATCTGATGACATGGTGATATTTTACACGTCCGGAGAAAGGGATCGTACGATTTTGGTCGGTGGGGGGTTGTTGTGCGTGCACACAGCTCTGGGTGCACCACGCATTTAGCACCGACACGTATAAGTAGCTTGGCACGTCTACGTAAATCAATTTCACCAACATCGCGCGTGCATCTTTAGTGCTTGGGTTTTAAAGATAGAAAGGAAGGCGCATCTTCACTGACGTCAAAGCACTTGCGATAGCAAAGCAGAAGGTAGCTCAGAACTGCGAGCGTCAAGGGACAAGTATTCGTATGCGGTCAGGAGCAGAAAATGCAAGCACTTCAGTTGCTGAAGCTTGCTCTGCACGTTTAGTAGTTGTCGTGTGTCAGTACAAGCCCTTTTGCCTACGAATGTCAGAGCCCTCTGTCGGTACTCGGCGAGTTCGATGGTATCGTGTCGCAGCTTTCTTTGCCAGCAACGTATCTCAGCTTACCATTGCCCAATTCGGATCCCGTGCGATTGGTTGATGTAGCTGGATTTGTCTGATGCCTTCAATTCGAGGATGGAGCAAGTGCTGCGTAAGCGTCCCCGCCCCATCCTTTATCTCTGCATTCTGCAATCTCCTCTATTTTCAAGTTTTTGTTGGCATAATCCTTGCGGGAGCGGGGGGGGGGGCACGGCGGGCAAACACGTGGCCCTCTTCTCTCCCAAAATGATTGTTTTTCGCTGTAATCGCTCCTTCGTAAGGCGCCTTTCGCATGGGCTGGGCGAGTGTTTGCGTCTCGTTCTCAGACTTGCGCGCGCTCGGGTTTTGCCGCGGCTTTTGTGAGCAGCAGCACCAATGGAAAGGGGTGGCTGTTGGTGCCTCTTTATCTCGACGTTTGGCTGTCTGTCCCCCCCCACGCGCACATACGATAGGGTAGCGGCGTCTTTGCCGCAGATCGTACTGCAGTAGCCCGCTGCTCTTGCTCTCTCTCTCCCTCGTGTTTTGTACCGCATTTCTCATGGTGTGGGAAACGTGTGTGGCTTGCGCAGGAGACGAAATGTCAACATGGTTCCCTTGTGCGGATGAATGCGATTTTTGTAAGTCCCCCGAAGGCTTTTGTGGCGCCCAACATGTCCCCGGGGTATGAGCCGGTCTTTTCGACTTCGGCCGTCGAGCACACGTGCCACGGGTGGCTGGCGGTCCTCGGGCGTGCACGGTAATGTACCGACGATCCCCCTTCGTGCCCCTGAGAAGGAAGCGTGAGAAAAGACTGACTTCCGCCAGCGAAAGATGTCCCGAAGCACGAAGACAGGCGAAATGTTACAGAAAATTTGACCTAGAGGATAAAACACACACACAAGGATTCAGTATCGTGCGGTCAGCTTGCTGACACACAGATTCGTTCTTTGCCTTGAGCAATACGGAAGAAGAGATGCTCGATAGAGGTCAGAACGGTATTGCAACGTCAGGGCAGAAACAGGGACGACGACGACAGCAACAACACAACCACAACACCAGTGCCACAACCAAACAAGGAGTCCTTGATGCTACGCAATGGTTGGCATCCGCATGTTGCCCCAACGATCCCTCCGCGACGCCCCGAACGAAAACTTGGGGCCTGTTGGGCCTCCATACTTCGCAACGTCATCTGCGAAGACCGATCATGAAAACAACGATACCGGGCGGGGCAGGGGCGAGGGAGGTCACTTGTCTCTTGCCTCTCTGAGCCGTTCGACCATTGAGCACCGTTTGCTCCTCCTGACAATCACACCACTGACAGTTATTCTCAATGTACAGAAAATTTCCTGCTCAGTTTGCCCGTGTTGTGGCCAACATCTACAGGTGAGCATGGCGATCAATTCCTCACGACCGTTCAAAGTCCCAAAATATTCATGTCAAATCCGTTGTTTTTCCTTGTTTCCTCTCGGGGCCGTTCTTCTCCAACGTTTCAAGAGACATTGCCTATATTGCCTGCCTTAGCGTTGTCTTTCTCCCCTACAACTTGCAGGCGATATTTTGTTCTCCATTCTGGCATTTCCAGGTACCCGACTCGCTTCTTTGCTTTCAGTTTTTTCCAAAGGCCATTGGGTCATAGGACGTGCACCGAAGTTCATTCCTATCTGGTCTTCTTGCAGCTTCCCGAATACAGCTACCTAACCAGTGTTTACTGTCCCCCTTCTTCAATAGATTTTGACTTTCCCTTATTATATTGTCGTTTGCGACTTCCATGCATCTCCCGAAAGCGTCGAGTACTGGTAACTCTTCCTGGTATCCTCTGACCGCATTCGAGGTTTCATTTCCTTCCAAACCTCACTTTCAACACGGACACATAGACGTTGCTTCATTAAATTCCTATTGCCGTTCGCGCTTGAAGCATCAGCGCATAAAATCTAGCTATGATTTGTTTTCCTAAGAGGCAATTTCAAACGAAACGAGTTAGACCCTAAAGAGCCCGGCTGAGGCAACAAGGAGCGGTCAGCACGCAACAAGGGAACCACAGGTTTCTTTCAGTGTCGCATCGTCGAAACGAGCATGTCGCATCGTCGAAACGAAGCTTGAGAGACGCAAGGGGGTCACTCACAAACTGGTCCCGGTGATCGTCGCCCGATCCCTTCGATCGTCCCCTGAAATCTCTCCTGCTCCTTTTCTCCGAACCAAACAGCACCGCCCTTTGTTTTAGCGCGGGAATAGGGGAAGGGTGTACGGCATAAGGCTAGGACGTTGAAGGCGATGCCAACAAAACATGGACTCACGGAATACTTTTTCGGGCCAGACACCCTAGGGTGGCTCTGAGAGTGGCCTTGTGTAAAGGCAACGACTTGTCTGGGTCTGTCGTTCATCCCGAATTGTCACAAGAGTTACCCAATGGATGTTTGCGAAGGGCTCTTCTACACCATAGGTTGTTGGCAAGAAGACTTTCACAAATATCCGCTCATCATGCCGTGGACCCAAATTATCGGCAACAGAAGGAACGCAAGCGCACAACAAAGGTCCCCTGATACCTGATACCAGTTCGTGCGGCTCAAGCATTCTTGACACAGCACGTTCGATCGAAACGTCCGGTGGAACTGTCACAGAACTGTCGCTTCTTTTCCCTGTTCTGTGGCGGTCACACTGAACAGTATTTTACTACCCACCATTTCTCGTTCCTTACCCGTCAAGGTAAAACAACTATCTTGTGTGGTCACAGGTATGCAAACCCGAGCGGGGTGAAACACACAATATTGCGCCACTCGCGAAAAGTAGCACTCCTGCAGCAATCCAGCAAGACGACAAGGAAAACAGTTGACAGCCCACAGGGAAGTTGAGCCCACCGTCCAGAGTCGAAAGCTGAATAAACAACGGAAAATTGTTCCAAGTGCAGTAGAACTAGTTTCTACGACGTTTAGGCCCTCACGTCTCACCTTGCTCGCGAGCTTGGGCGAGTACATGGCGGCCGTCGAGGACTTCGTGTTTTCCGCTAGCGGCTTCCGCGTGTCAAGGTTGAATCCTGGAAGAATCTTGCCCTTCACCGGGCCGTTTCGGAATACTCCATCAACGTTGTAGAGGACTCCTGGTGAGGCTGTCATCAAGTCCATGCTTTCTCTCGCCGCCGTACCGAACGTAATATCTGCCGCCCCAGGACAAACGTGATCCCACCCCCCCACCCAACCGAGCACAGTTTTTTAGGAGATTCAGTGGAGTTCTTCGCATTTCGAGAGCAACGCACGCTATCGATCTGGCTACGACCATTATTGAGACACCGACTGTCACCGAACGTGACAGGGAATACTCCTCCCTGTCGGCACTCGCCTCAAATCTCATGACGACTCTCACTACAGGCCGAAGGTAGCACGTGGCATCTGTCTTACACGTGCGTACCTCTTCTGCTGGGAGACTCTGACAGAACCTCGTACTCGTTCCCCGTTTTGTAGTTCGCCGGGCCGGCTTCATGACGTCGGACAGGAAGAAAAGCCGACGTTAGCAACCAGGAAATGGTCGAGGGGGAACATTCAACGTCGAGCTCAAGGCTATAACTATTTGCCATGCTTTTCGACAGAGTTTGGTCCCAGGATGGTCTTTGAAGATCCCTGCTTCCTGAAAACGACTAAATCCAAGAGACCTCGGTCGGCATTTGGGAAGTAGTGTGCTTGAGCGATTATTCCGGCTTGTAAGTGAAAAACCACAACCTCGTTCGTGGTCACTGCGAGTAAGTATGTGCGAGGTGTCGCCACTGCGGTACTGGCGTGAAGCGGCCGGGCTACAATGGGGTGATATCTAGGGTAGATTGTCAAACTGATGAGATGCCACCCGGAGCTTCGACGATAAGGGGGTACACGTACTCAATCCACTTTGTTCATCGTAAGCGTATTTGTTTTTGGTTTGGTTTGTTTTGATTGTCTTCACTTCGAATCAGCGCTCATAGCACTTGCTGTGCCGTTTACTACAGCCCATGGTCACACACAAGGGTTCCTCTCCCTGAGGCCCCTACCCACCCCTGCTGCGGTACTTTGCCTTCGATTATAATGCGAGAAGAGTGCAGCACTCTTCTTCCCTCTGTGTACACACGAACTATAGTAGCGCTTTCCTAGGCCAGGATCGGAAGCGAGAGAAAAACTCACTTTGCAAGAAAGACTCGCTTTCACCGGGATTCGAACTCCTGAACCTGGCACCTAGAAGGTTTTCGAGGATACCAACTAAACTGCCGGGGGCGACCGGCATCTGCAACTTGTTGTAGCATAAGACTCTTCAAAGCGTTGGGTGAGGCAACCTGGTTGGATCGGCATCTACTCATGTGTAAACTCGTCTTACAGTTTGGATTGTAGAGGTCTTTGGTGTTCTCCATGATCTTCTTCCAGTCGGCCCGGGTGCTTGTCCCAAAGCTGAAAGGTGGAGCCTTGACATCCGGTATCGTGTACATGGCATCCGAGGCGTACTTGCACTTCTGCCAGGCAAACCTCTCCTCAGACCCAAAGTTCGTCCCCCCTCCTTCCTTGTTCCCAAACCGAACGTCGCTCTTCTTCATTTTGACACCGACCCCACCGGTGCCTGAAGCATGACCAGCGGCAGCAGACGAGTCTCTCGTTGTTGCTGGTTTTCGTAGTCCGCCTCCCCCGCTTGTCCTTCGACCACCGGCAGCGCCGCAGGTTGCTGCCGGCCCGGCCGTTCTCGCTCTCGTCCGGTTTGATCGCTGGTTCTGCCGTGATCCTCCTCCCATCTTTGGAAACCTCCTTAAATTCAGTATGATGTAAGCCTTCTGTTGGCACTCTGGATCGAGCGCACGTGTTGCCCCGGCGGTAGCGAGAGTTCGGCGAAACTAGAAACGTTACCACGTTTACCACGTTTACCACGTTACCAGGTTACCGCCTATGCGTGCGTGTGTAGAGTGCTTGTTGAAGCTACAAGCGGTGTAAGGACGGGGTGGATCTTGAGGTGCTCTAAATCCAATCCTCTTGGATGGGGTAGAAAGGGTGGTCGGTCGAAGCAACACGGGTAGGGAGAGGAAAAGAGCGCGGTGTGTCAATCAACGCACGAAGGCGTGTCGAGATTGATGCGGCGAGACTTCACCGCCGTCTCCGAACCGCAACTCGAACTTGTTCCCCGTTCCCTGGGAGTTCGACCCATTGCGTTATTGCTTCATGCTGTTGGCGCGCCAACGTCGTCGTGCGATCTCTCTCTTCTTACTCTCTGCTGCTCTGTTCTCGTCGCGCGCAAAGGACCTGTCATCTCTTTCAACGGTGCGAAGAAACTTCCGCAAATATGAAGATGTCTGTACTCGCACGTGCGGTGGGGGGTTGCGTGGCGTTGCGTTCCGCCCAGGGCTTTGTGGCAAGTTCGGCTGTCGGCCGGGTGAGAGCTTTGTCGCTTTGATTGAGCAGGGAGGAGGACCACGTTTAGGTCCCACGTTGGCTATTCCGCTCACCCATCTGTTGATCACCCTCTAGGTAACCCTACAGCAACAGCAGTATGGTCGGTTACATTACGATTGATGAGGCTGGATGAACATTTGGTGCGTTGTGTGCTGTTCATGCACACATTTGCAAAATGAGCGGCGTTTGTGAGTCATGCATGTTTGTAATCTTATCTTTTGGCGCGTGGCGCGCTGTGAGAGCAGCGGAGCAGCGGGACAAAAAAAGGGGGTGTTTTTTGTGAGATGTGCGGAAAGTATGCCTGGCGGCCGGTTGCCACATGTTGGATAGGCCTTGTCTGCGTTGCACATCAGATGCACTTACTCCCGAGGTCGAGATTCCGGATGATTGGGTAGATTCCCTCTGGGGTAACATATGCATACACGGCAGTAAATCGAGTTGATACTTGGGGCTCTTTCCGTGGAAATCCCAGCAATATTGGCGGGACGAAAAGCAGACATTCCACAACCGAACCACGAGGAGGGAGTTCTACGTATGCATGTACACGCACATACCTCTCGTTGTGGGGGTTCCTTCTTGAACAGTTCCTGGACATTCCTTCCTGATGAAGCACAAATGAAAATGATGGCAGGAGACGATACATCCAGCAGTAGCAGTTTTGACTGCCTACTGCTGTACGGGTCGATCGCATAATTTTTTCATGCAGGATCTTTCATTTTCACAGGCGCCCTCCCGCTCCGTTGTAGCCGAAAGACCCAAACACTTCATTCCGTGAATCCGAATGGTTGACCACAACAGCGCCATCAAACCCGAGCGTCGCGCGCATTTCGAGGTTTCTTGCATCCCCTGAGTGAGTGCTCTGCCTTGACGCCACGCGCAAGGATGCATGCATGATGGTCTAGTGGTTCAGGGTCGGGTGGAACTTCCGCCGCAACAATACTCCGACGCAAGATAACACACACCCTGGTCCGATTTTCACAGCTCGATTACGCCGCTGCGAAGGGGATGCACAGCAGTCGAAACGAAACATTTTCGGAGAGAAAGCTCTGAGCTCTGGGCGAGACGGCTTCAACGCCGTCGTTTTCGGCGCTGCCACTCTTCTCTGCTGTGGAGAAATCGAACTTTGAAAATCGGTCCGGGGTGTGTTGTCAGTGTTCTGTTGTGTGTATACGGTCACTGTTGTTGCCGAGAGACCCGCCCTAAGCGGCGGGATGTTACAATAATACCCCGAACTGGTCGTTACCAACCAAATCTCGTATTGCCATAGAGTACAGAGTACTGCTTTAGAGCCAGCGCACTGCTGTTGCTGCCAACTGCCAACTACCCGAGCGTAAGTTCAGCAGAGCCCATGAGTCCACCCTTCTATAATATAGAAAGTTGTCGATGACCCGTCGGAGATATTCCGAGACTGTCACCATAGATCAATCAAGAGCCAGCCAGGTTGCCGAGTGAGTGCAAGTGCAGCAAATACGATGTAGCCGAATGGTGCATGCACTCGCCCACCCTGCCCACACCTTCGCTCCCTCTCATTTCCTCCTCCTCGTATCCCTCTCCCTCGCAAGAAGGCTCAGGCGTATCATCATCAACACGCTTTGACGGCACGTATGTACAAGAGATCATTGTCATTTGAGAGAAGAACGAACAACCTAGGTAGTCTCAGAGTCTCGTACTCGGCGGTAATAATGTAATAATGGTCGAGATTCATCCATTGACTAGCCATCAATCTTCCTTGTATCCACAAGCTCGCGAAGATTCGAGTCTAGTTTCACGGCCTCTACTGACTAGACTGACACCTCGTGTGTGATAAAGAGTGATGTCTCTCATGCGGGTAACGGCCTGACAACAGCAGGTAGGTGGGCATCACGTGCGGAGACTGCCCCGTGCGTCGTGGGAGCGTGGAATGGAAGGCCTGTTGCTGTGTGTTACTATGTTTTTCTCATCACACCACCCTTTCTATCCCAGGCCACATGTGTGGTGTTTCTCTGTTGAGCCAGATTTTTCGGGGCTACACTGCAGTACACTGCCTGACGGAGGTCCAACGTGCCGTGCATGTCTCGCAGTTGATGGTTTATACAAAGGGTTTTCTGGATATTCGTGAGATAGGAGATACAGCAGTATGCCCTGGACAAGTATCTGAAACAATGCGTGACGACGTGAATATCCGTGATATCGGCCTTGGGAGGAGCGACAAGCAGCTGAAACAATGCGTGACGAGCTGGGCACTCGTGTGTGAGACTACTGTTGTTCAAACCATCCTTGCGGCTTTTGACTCCGCTGTTGTCACGTCGTCCCTCGACGAAGCCGCACTATCGAGCGAAAAAAGCTAGAATGTGCCGCACACAAACCAAACATTCTAAATTAGCCTGGGTGCACAGCTGTCAACCGACAGCCGTATACAATGCGCGGTTACACCGCCGTTGTTGCTCGACGTTTTGAAGATCCAAAATGGATGAGGCACCCCACGTCATTTCAAGTCAACTTCTCTAGCTCTGGCGAGGATATATATGTGCACACGTTGACCGCGGCCCGCAATACGATCTATTTTTTTCTCTACGCATCATGAGATGCAGACACTTCCTGAAGTGCGCCTCACGAACCCGCCCCCTTTCGGTTATGGCTGTGAAGTGCGCGGGGGTGTTGCGCGGTCAGGTTTTGATTGGTGGGAAAGACCCTGCATGACCGTCACGTTTTATTCCCTGTCTCCACTGAACATGGGTACCGCTGCGCGTCTACCCATTTTTACACACACACACACAATACCTTGACGACACCCTCCCCTACCCTGTCCTACCCGTCTTCATGCTGCCCGGACTCTTTTTTGTAACGCGGGCGACCAGACAACCGGCGTACGTTCGATCCACCAAGCATCGAGGTGAGGAGTGCTATTTAGCGAGGCGGTTGGTTTGTAGTCAGGCAGGCTGTGTGGGCGGGGGAGTGTCAAGTCATCGTGCGGTTCGATCCCTGCTGCACATCTTCGTTGAGTAGCACATGAGAGACGCGTCCCCCCATGTGTGCCGTAGCATGCACAAGCCACTGCTGCTGCTGTGTCGCATGATTGATATCTGGTCGTCGTTTTTCGCTCGCATTCCTATCGTTCTATGTAGGAATTGCGCCCCTGGTGTTCTGATTGGCTCGTCTCTCCGGAAGAAGCTCTACCCCTCGCTTTTCTCGTGAGCTCGTTCCGGGGGTCCCCCCCACCATGGCGCCACCGCCGTTTCTGTCTGTCTTGCCCCTCTCTACTGCCCTTTCTTATTACCGCGCTTCGATGCATGTGCGTTTGCTCATCTCATACACCCGCGCCTGTAGATTGGCAATGGCGATCAAGGAAGGTGACAAGTTCCCTATGGACTCCACGTTCCAGATCAAGGGCGACGCGGGACCTGCCGTGAGTACCCATTGCACCACGTTGACGGTATTCCGCGTACAAGACCGGCTGTTTTAAAAAGTACACCGGTCTCTCGTGTACCAGTTCACCAGCCCTTGCACCACGTTTACTTACACTTGACGGTATTCCGCGTACAAAACCGGCTGTCAAACCGGCTAGTTTGGTGATTGAAGAAGCGCACGTGAGCTACTCGTCACGACGCCAACTAGTCCTGGAGTGGGCTTGTTGCAGCTGATTCGACTTGGTTGTATCGTCGGAGCCGACTTGTAACAGCAGTGGCGATGTGTTTCGGAACACCCTTGGCACGGTAACGCGTCTCAAGTCTCGAGGCCTTGTCGTCATCCCGCGTCAACGACACGCACGTTCTGTCTCCAATCCCTTGCTTAACTTGGCAACCAAACGCCGCGCTCCCAATGTCAAGGCCTTGCCGCCATGTCGCGTCAACAACACACCCGTTCTAATGCATATCTCCCAATCACTCAGCCAACCAACCGATTGAACCTCAACACAGGACGTACCCGCCAGCGAGATCTTCGCGGGCAAGAAGGTGGTAATCTGCGGCGTGCCCGGCGCCTTCACGCCCACGTGCGACGACAACCACCTGCCCTCCTTCATCGCTAACGCCGACAAGTTCAAGGTCGGTCGGTCGGTCCGGATGGTTGGCTACCTTTCATGCTATGTGGCTGTTTTCGCCGTGGTTGTGGCATTCTCGATTTTGTGTCTCAATGTCTCTCTGTCTCTCTTTAAGTCTCTCTCTCTCTCTCTCTCTCTCTCTCTCTCTCTCTCTCTCTGTCTCGCCTCTCTCTATGTAGACCCCAAAACCCCCACCCCCACCCACCCCCTTGCGACGTTTTCGCCGCCTCAGCTCTTCCAAAACACGCATCCCCGCCCTTCAACCTCTCGGTCGCACGCCTCCCACAACCCCTTATCTCCCTCACCTCCCCGACAGAAGGCCTATAACTGCTTCGGCACGACTCTTTTTTTTTCCTCTGTCCATTTCGACGGTTTTTACTTGCTTCACGCTTGGCAACAACAGGAGAAGGGCGTGGACACGGTGGCGTGCATGTCCGTGAACGACGCGTTCGTCATGAGCCGGTGGATCAAGTCCCTGGACGCGGAGGACAAGGTGACCATGCTCGCCGACGGCGGTGCTGTGTTCGCCGAGGAGAGCGGCCTGTGCGTCAAGACCGGAAAGTTCGGCGGGACCCGCCTCCAGCGCCTGGCGATGATCGTGAGTCGTCGTTCTCTCTTCTCTCTTTGTCGTTACATACACGTTTCGTTTTGATCTGACCTCTGCTGCGTGATTGTAGCGTTTCTCGCCACTTTTTCGTCGGAACACCACCAAGAAACATGATTTGACCTCTCTTTTCATGATGATAGCTTTTCTTGCCACGATCCTGTCTGTTTGTAAACACCGGTGAGATTTGTCGTTGGGTTAGTGTCGCTTGGCGTGCTTTGGGAGTGTTGTGTACGCGGATGTCTGGTGAGTTGGTGGCAATGTTGTTGCTCTTGTCCCGTGGACCTTGTTGCCTCAAAAGTGATAACTTTTTTTTCCCGTCCATTTGCTGCTTTTGTCGAAGGGTCTCCTTTATCTTGGGTGTCCCTCGAGTGTTCATTGCCTTGTTTTTGCCTCTTTTTTGCTCGCTGGCTCCGGGGCACACAAGCTCGATTCGCTCTTGTCGCTGAACGAGCATTTTTTCTTCTCATGTCCTGGAGTAAATGTACCCTTTTTTGTCCTACAGGTGAACGACGGCACGATCGAGAAGCTTTTCTTGGAAGACGGCACCGGCTACACCGACGTCTCCTCTGGCGACACCGTGCTCGCCGCACTCTAAGACATGATAGAATCGAAATAGCTACGGAAACCCCCAACTGAAACGCCTCCGACAGAGGGGCGATGGATTGCAAGGGGTTGCGATTTCCTCGCCAGGGATTTTGACGATTGTCACGGCGAAGCTTGTCGAATCGCCGTGCAACTGCTGTGGTGGTCCTTTACGGTCCAACCATTTGCGAGGCTCGATACCCCTCCCTGTTCGGGCGTCTAAAGAACAGGTGTACACGAATACCTCGGCAGTATTTTTTTTGTTTGTGTGTGGGGTGGCGTGGCTGGAGGTGTTGCTTTTCTACGACCGGCAAAAGTATCGGAGACCCCTTCCTATCTTAGCGTAGCCTGTCTTGATGCCGTTGCAGCAGTGACTCATGACTTTGGTCGGGAGTGGTCTTGGAAACAAATGAAGCGCGTCACATATTGTACCAGCTCTCGAGAGCAACTGCCCCGTGCCGTCTCTGGTGTAGTTTTTTCGCGAAAACGCTGCTTTTGTTCGCGACGAAGCAAGTGCCCTTTCCTCTGTCGTCGACGATGTAAGCCTTTCGGCTGGACGGAGTTTTGGCCAACCCCGGTGCTTCCCATAACGAGACGAGAAAGACACCAGAGCGCGAGAGCCCTACGCTGACGAAAATCTGAACTAGCGTCCTCGGGCATCGATGAAAAGAAAGTAGCCTCGGCTTACCGACATGGAATGTGCCCCACAGCATTCCTATCCACTCTTCTGAAAAACCTCAGGTCGTGGACGACAGAAAAGCTCGAGAATTGGTGGTTTAGACGAATTCTTGGTCTGAAAATGAAAGCCCATCAGTTCTTACTTAACATGTACAAGGGCAAAACATCCATCGTCGTATCTGTCTGCATGACAGGGGTCCCACTCATCATGTGTTTTCTCCGCGTGTACTCGTCTATACCTCCGCACCCTTTCGTTGTTCACGACAAATCCGAAACACCCCCTTTTTATACCTTCCTGGTCACTAAACGCCTTCACCAAACTCGAGACACTGCACACTCGACGGTGCTGCTGTAAAACAAACTCAGTGAACGTCCCAAAAGGTCCCCCCCCATCTATATCTCCTTGTTCGTCATGTGATCATTGCTGTTGCACCCAGTTCCTCCAAAGCCCCCCAAACGGTCCCCCCTCATCTATATCTCCTTGTTGGTCTTGTGATCATTGCTGTTGCACCCAGTTCCTCCAAAGCCCCTCCCGGCCAAACGTCGGACCATACCCCCCCAAACGCTCGACCACGCCTGTTCTGCCTCACCCACGCGAAGCAGCAACTTACAGGGAAAAAATTACACCGTAGAATGCAGACCGAACCCTAACCCTTGTAAGACATATGCACAGGCCGTGCCTTCGCCCGCGACCGCCCAGGGCGGCCGTGACACCATTTACATAAACGGGCTCGTCTCATCACACCGACCTATACGCACACGCACACACGTGCCCACCCACACAAAGCACCTAACTCACAAAAAAACACTGGCGGCGCCGCTCATTGGGTAGGTCGGTCATGAAGCGTGATCGACGTGTTACTCAAAACACACACGCACCATCCAAACCGTCACTCTCGAGAGAAAGAGAAACATACGAGAATGATTGGTCAAACACCTTTGCGGCGAAAACATTTTCACAGATGATCGAACATCCTTGGATGACGGATGGGGTTGTCCAATGTCAGCAAATTGCGCGCCACAAATCCCTCCCTCTAGCCGGGTCTGTCTGTCTGTCTGTCCCCCGAGTGCCTCAGTCCATGACGGAGTTCAATCCTGGCCGAAGGCGTTGTCCAGGGGAGGGGGGGGCATCAGGAGGTAGGCATGTGTGAGGATTCGGTGGCTGTACACATCCGAAAACGGTAGTTTCACATCTGACAATAATTCGCCAACGCCAAAACGCATGCCGTAGTCGTACAGTCATTGACCTCGCATCCCTAAAATGCCGGGACGGAGCGACATGCCGGTTTTCGCCGGCCCACAGGCTAAGTTTCACAGGGATGCACCGGCCGGTTTGGGGGCATACACAACCTTGTGGACAGACAGCCGCCTTGTTTAACCCATGGAACGCCTCCCTCACCGCATGTGTGTCCTACGAATGACACAACAACATACAGACAGCCGTTTCATTTAATGCGCCTCCCTCACCGAGACCGGAGAACTCGGACTTGGCCACGTTCCAGCCCTTCTTGTCGAACAAATCGGTCAGGGCGAAAGACTTCTCGATCTGTTCCGGCGTCAGCAGCACGTCCTCGCTAAATTCCCTGCAGAACAAAAAACAAGGGGAGGAGGGGGGATGGGGGTAAAAGGTGATCGAGAGGTGAATTCTTACTCCTCCAGTCTTAATCTTACTCCTTAACCTAGAACGTCAAGCAGGCGAAACGTCGGGGGGCGGTTACGAAAGGTGAAGTCTACTTCTTGGCCTGGAATGCCAAAAGGTGAGGGGGGGGACAAAAGGAAGGTGTAGCCTTGCTCCTGAGATTTGACACGTCGGAGATTTCGGAGAATGATCGTCGATCCGGGATCTCGTACCTGCCAACTCACCTCCGGCAGGGGCACCACGAGGCAACTACTACAGTAACAACGACGCCGGACTCGAACTAAACTGGGTTAGTTCTCTTTGCCATATTACAACACATACGTATGGACGACATCCTCTCTCCCAAAGTACGTGATTAACTACCCTCCCGCACGAGTGTTTACAATGGAGGGCCGTCATCCTATCACCGACTCGTGTAGTAGCTAGGTGTTCTCACGCTCGATTGGGTTGGTTTGAGGCAGTTAGGGTGCCCGCACTCCCCGCCCTTGCCATGATACATTTAGTATAGCAGAAGCTACATGGATGCATAAAAGAAGGGTTCATAAGAGAGTCATGACGATCAGGGATCAAAACCACTTTGCCCTCACCCCCCTCCACACATGACACATGTGTGGAGATCCCGTCACCGAGGACCCTTAACAGTTGTCCAAAAAGCGCCGTCAGCGAGGACCCTCAACAGTTGGCCAACAAGCGCCGAAGGTATGTATGGAACACACAGCGAGAG